GGGGCCGGTGCGTTCCTCGCACGCGCGCCTCCCCGCGAGCGCTCGTCGTGTGCCCGGTGCGCAGCTGGCAGGCGCGTACCTGTGCGCGCATCGTGCGCTGCTCCGGCATAGGCGTGCGCAGAAACCGCTTGCGGCACCCCCGCGTGTGGGCATCCGCGCTGCACGCCCACCCTCACCCGCGCGTGGAGCCCTGCACGCCAACCGGGGGCTCCGTCCATCCGTACACACACTCCTCCTCTGCCCCCAGCCAGCCCCGCCGTCTGGACACGGACACGCAGATCCCCTGCTCCTGCTCTGGGGACGGCCATTGGCACAGCTACAACGGCCCACTCGGTTCGCTCCTGCCCTGGCGCAGCCTCACAGCCAGCTCTGCCTCCTCCACGTAGCCTCAACACCTTGTTTTCACCCTCCCCAGCTCCAAGACAAACAACCCAAAACCCTCCACGCCACAGCTCGCAGCAGGGCTGATGCATGCACCCTCATCCCACCAGTACCTATTTTGGCTTCCTCCATCCCGTTCCTGGTCACGCTCCTCACATCTAGCTCACAGTCTAACCCTAAATAGCCTCCCTCTACCACCAACCCCCCACACCCCCTTTTTTTAATCTCTTCCCTCCCACCCTGGCTGCCCGTAGTTGCCTGCCTCCAACACTCACTGCCAACTGCCCCCAGATCCCAGCTCAGGTATAACGTGCTTTACTCTGCTTTACTCTTCCCCAGCGCTCGAGGCAATCAGTCACACACCATCCACTGCTACCTCCCTAAATCGGAAAGGACAGAAACCACAAAATTATCAGCCTTATACAACTGCTTGTTGTACAGCAACGGTAGGAAACAGTAAGCTGGAAGGAAGGAGGTGTGCTGGAAGTAACCGTGATTTGAACTCCACGCAGCCCAAAAGCAGCGTACAGGAGATCTCTGCCCCATGTAGTGACACTTCTGTAAGTTATTTTCACTGTTACGCTTTGCCTACCTCAGACGCATGACGAGTCTCCAAGGCACGTCTTTTGGATGACACAGAACATTTATTACATGGTTGTGGGTTTAATGACCCCATAGTGGTACATTCTTAAAAGCCTCCCAAGCCTCACACTAGCGACAGCAGCATCTGCACCAAGTTCCAATTGAGTTTCCACTGCATCGTCATACTCGAGGCAGAAATCGTGGCCCCAGCACAATGTGGCTGCTGTCACCAGCTGAACTGCGGGTAAAACAAATCACAGTATTATCCTAGACCGACCTGAAGCTGGGACTATAAAGAAAACCTTTGTGTGATTGTTTATATGTAGTAAAACACACACTACAGTTGCAGTAAAAAATAACAAGGCAGCATTCAGGAAAGCTCTTTGGTCAATGAGGGCATTACAGCCACCCTACATCCTCTCAGTATGTTCTTTTGAAGCACCTTCAAGAAGGAATTTTGTCTTCGCCCAATCCCCTTCTAAGAGAGAGAAACTTTTTGTCCTGCCACCTTTTCTCTCCACATCCTCCTTTTATAAATCAAATTTTCTGCATTTATTCTTTCCTTCCGATACCTTCTCTCACTCGTACCATTTGCCTTTCGAAGCAAGTGTGTTTTCTCAAACTTTGTTCCCAGGAATGTACCAAGACTGCTTGATCTCCCTCTGGCTTTCATCTAAGGGTTAATAGGCAGAGCACAGCCCCAGCAACCTCGGGATCTGACCCTGCATGATCTTCACAGCAGGTAATGGTGAAGTCTCCTCAGGCGTTCAAGCTAGCACAACTTCAGGGCCTGACTGGGTAATTTTAGAAGAATCCTACCTGCATTTTGATTGAAGTCCCAAACAAGTGCAACATTTCCATTCATCAGATAGACAAGATGAGCAGGAACACATTCACTTTAAGACTCTCTAAGCTTACAATAATGAATTGGAATCAGCTGCACTCACTGCATTTGGACAGAATAAGCAAAACTGATGCAACTGAAATTCCTGAGGGTGACACAGCAAACCAATTATCCCAGGCAAATCTCTCTCAAGTTGCACACCTGTTAGTCTTGGCCCACAGCCTTTGCTGTATACTAAGAAGGATGTGTTATTTCCATGCTATTTTGGATAGGATCTCTTTAACAAAAGCCTCTGTCCCAATCCCAAAGTCTTATTCTACTCCTCACAGGATGAAGTCTTCTCTACGATATCACACTATAAACTCTAAAGCAGGATCCAATTCCTGGAAATTCCCATCATCAACAACCTCTTGTAGAATGCTTCAAAGATAGAGATATTTCAGTCTCATTTGTAAATATTGATGTTTCTTCCTTCCATTTCAGTGACAGGGCCCTAGGCCAGGCCTCAGCTTGCTCCTGTGGTTCAGGACGAAAGCCAGTAAAAAAATTACTGCTACCCATGTGAGAAGCAGTACTTCTGTACTGTCTGGGAGACAAGTGCCAAATGAAGCAGATAAGTGATTACAGCAGAAAGAACATTTCCCTCTGGCAGTCTATTTCCATAACTCCAAAGTAACAACGCTGGAGCTAAGGTTTAACAAAATGGTTGAGCTAATCCCTGCTGTCCACATCCCTTGTTTGACACCTTGTTGAGCTATTTCAGCTCGCTGAAGCAGCAGGAAAGTGTTCACGTTTTTAGGAGACTGTAACTGGGAAGCAGCAGTTTGGTGCAATGAATCCTGAGCGCAGCTTCCTCTCATACCTATGCTAGTGTTACAGTTAGCACCTACTGAAAAGAGCAGCCCTACTTCACCTCCCTTCCAGGGGTGCCTTCCTGTCTCCTTCTTTGTACAGCATTCCTGCTTTTGGAAGGTGAACTTTCTGCAAGTTAGCTTTCTGAACTGGGTCACTGCTGGACCAGGCAAGAACCAGTGCTGGCATCAGGAAAGTGGAAGGAACTCCCAGCCTGGAAGAAGAAGGAGGACAAGATCAGGATGGCTCCCCTTTTGCTCAGACTGCCATTAGCTCAGCCTTAGCTGCAAAATGAAGCTACGCTGACCCCCATGGCACTTGAGAACTAGGTACATTAGCCCTTTTTCTTCAAGGGAAATACTGAAGTTCATGGGGTAAACTCAGTTCTGCAGGGCCCAAGACAATCCTGTCCTTGACAGAGTTGCACATGACAACCAACTGAACTGTTTAGACACAGTCTTAGGCAGGTGCATTCCATGTTCTCTCCCTCCCCCTTTAAGGTATGCAACCTTCACCTTCACATTCTACCGAGCTCTACTTTTAGGGAAGAAGCAGGGCATTACCTCTTTGACCTATCACCCCTGCTCCCTTGTACCCCTCCCCAGTTTCTCTTTTTGTCCTCAAGTTTCTGAACAAAAAAGAACCCCCCACTTAGCCAGGTGTTCTTTGGAGAGAGGCCTATTGCTTCTCCCTTTCCTAACCACAACATACAGTCAGTCACACTGTTCCTTGAATTGAGCAACACTGAGCAAAGTGGTGGCCAGTTCTTGACAGAGAGTAAACTTGGGTCCAGGCCTGTAAGCAGGGTAAGATCTGTGCTAGTTAACTCTTGCTTAGCACAAGACTTACTAAAGAACAACTACAACAAATGATGCTTTTTGTGCTTTCTTCAAACTACAGTCTAAGCTCCATTAATACCATGATTTGCCTGTGGTATTGGTAGGTAGAAATGCTTGTTGCTGTGACTTGGCAGTCATGTCCACATTATAAACAGTAATGCTTGCAGGTAAACAAAGTGGAAAAATCTGAGCCTAAGAAGGATCTTCTGTATTCCGTCTGACTTCCCCCCTTGCTACTTGGCTTGAATACTTACATTATAAATTATTACTCCCTGTACTACTCAACACAGACATACATATATTGCAAGCCACCCCCATGCTGGAGGGCACAAAAATTACCCACTACACTTTTAAAGAAACACTTCCACTCTGAAGGAAGAAAGATCAGGCCATGGTGCATAGACAAGAAAAAAAAAACCAGCCTGCAGAAACTGTCCCCCGGAGCTCAAAAAGGTGAGAAGTTATTTATGTGCCCAAAACAAACTACTTAAGCCAATAAAATTTACAAAACCCAAAATAGTTTTATTTACTTTTCAGATTTCTGCCTCAATGAGACATTTTGCAAACATGCTAAGGCTACAAAATGTCCAAGTTGACAAAGACATGCAACGCTGACCATTCAGTAAGTCACGGCTATTATAGGAGCGACCATGCCCACCTGGGCCACAGGTCCTGTAAAACAGGAATGGTGTACAGTGATCATGGCAATGTACTATGCAGGACCTAGTAACCTGAGGTAGGTCTCTTTACAGTAAGAAAACAATGTCCTACACCACTGTTACATCCTGATCAACAGGAACCTGTTTAAAGTTCCAGAAGATGTGGGGTGGGGGACTGTTTCCTTAATAAGTGTGCAATAAAGAAACAGGAAATATTGATGTTGTTTAACTGTAGTACAAGTGAGCAGAACAAAGAGTTAGTGTTACCCATGCCAATGAAAGCCAACCTAAACCTCTGAGGAGTGTTAGCAGCTTCCAGATAAAGGAGTCAGTCAGCTGAAGCAACTCTGAAAAGGCTTTCCTGCTAGCATACAGGGTATGATTTGAACCTTTTGATTAACTTGTTACAGATCATTCCACGAACAGTTAGATTTTGGTTGTGTTAGATCAGCGAAGCAGGAGGAGCTTGGGCTTGCTTGCATTAAAATAAACCCTGCTGATACAGTAAGAAATACTGTATCAGGACACTGAGAAAATACGAGGCCTTAATGTGACCCAGAAGTGGTTCTCCACTCAGGAGATCACTAAAAACCCTGCTTTAAGAAAGCATCATGGGAAGCAGCAGCTGCTGCCGTGGTGAACATTAGCGATGCTCCAAATAGCTTTGATAAATTACAATGCAATAGTTACACCACAGAGCTCTTCTCCCCTGCGCTAGACAACAAAGATGTGACAATAAAGGACACTATTGCAAAGCTTCACTTCCACTCAGACACGCATAAAATCCAGCACTAGGAAAAGACCAACTGTAAAAGACAAAATGGTGTCTGATACAGTCCAATAACAAAGCCAGATCTCCGGTACCGTAAACTGTACAAAAATGATAGAAAAGAATATGCACTGTTATTAATACAGTGCTTATTTTAATATAAAATAAACAGCTTACATTTCCACTGTAAATATAGGCTATATACAGAATTATGTATAGGTATAGCTACATGTATAAAGCTTCATTATAGGCCTCTGATACATTTATAACTATGGCTCCCTGAGCCATTCGTAGAGTGCATTTAATAACAAAAAATTAGTAATATGATTATGGAATAAATACAATAATAAAAACATGAAGAATTCTTCTGACACGGTTTTAAAAACTCTCTGGCTTGACACATTGTGCTAAAAATTAAGAGATGAAAAGGCAATAATCTGCTTGAAGGAGGAGGAGGAGGAGGAAGAGCTGGCCTGCCACAGGCAGGGAGTGTCGCTCTCCAAAACTAAAGTGACTTTGCCCTGAATTTTAGCCCTTGACAGCAACCTTGTTCTCCGCAGCAGCAAACATAGCATAGAAGCGTGAGTTCTCATTGGCCAGAAGGGCAGACGGCGTGTCGAATTCCACTACCTAAAAGCAAACAAGGCAGGTAAAGTATGTCAGTAAAATCCAGCAGAAAATGGATTCCCACCCCTTGGACTTGTGACACGGTAGTAAAGAAGCCAAAAAAACATGGTACTCGTCTTTAGATGAGACATCAAGCGGTGAAAGGATGTGCATTTATGCCTACATACTGTAACCTGGGATGCTTCAAACTAGCTCAGACAAACACTGGAACTACCCAGCAGGAAGCAACCTCTGGTGGCTCTGGCAAACAGAGGCAGACACTATGGGGTTTTGCCTTCTCTACCTTTAAGAGCCTTGCCAAATGTTCTCACATTTGCTTTAACTGTTTATGGCTGCCATATGGAAGCCTGAAAAGTGAATCTCTCTGAGCATCTCTCATATGCCTGTTTGATAGCACAGGGCTTCATGAAAGTAATGGGAAACTGCCACTGAGCCCCAGCAGAGATGCTTACATTATTACCCATCTCAGAATTAGCCTACAAAGGGAGTTCTCTTAAAAGAGAGACTATTACTGTATGGTACTTCTTCGGAGCGTAAAAGAAATTTTGCCCTCTTTGATCTTGTCACAGTCAGGCAATAACTGATTCTATTGGAGTATTATTACCAAGGATGTGAATGAACACAGAGGATTTTCCACCCTGCAATACTAGCTGTTCCTTCAGTTCAGCATGCACATATGGCACCACCAGACCGCAACAGGAACTGCAACCACAAGTCTTTCTGCTTACCTGTCCTTGTGTTAGCACCATGATCCGATCAGAGCCCAGTACCGTATGCAGGCGATGAGCAATTGTTAACATAGTGCAGTCTGCAAATGCCTCTCTGATAGTCTCCTGAATCAGTAAGTCTGTCTCTGTGTCCATAGCAGCTGTTGCTTCATCCAGTATCAAAATCTGAAAAGCAGCACATAATCCTGGCTGTTACCCATAGCAACGCTTTCCCCCCTCGAACATAAAAATATGTAGAGTGGGCACAATTACCATGACCAAGAGTTGTCACAACTGGCAATCCTTACAGAGCTGTGGTCACAAAGGTAGTTTTTACAAGCACCTTTTCAGCTTTCTTTATGCAATTGCCTTCAACAAAGTTACTCTATGGATCACATCCTAGAGCCACGAGATGTTTGGATTCTGACCTGGGCCTCAAGTGTCCACTACTATTTATTTTACATTCAGCAGCTAAATCTCAAATTTTACTGGTAAACTAATCTGACACATCCTTGATGGTGACATTCCTTCTGGAATGAGTCAATACCAACTAGGCTTACTAGCTTTCTTATGCTCGTAAAGAGTTACCCTTCCTCTCGGACTCAGACATAAACTGATTTGGAATGGTGTCTTGTCAAAGCTAAACTAGACTTTTTTTTGTGCAGGTACTGCACAGAGAGCAGTAACTTCTGCTGAGAAGTCTGCCTTTAAAACAGATGCAGAGTGAACCTTAAAATATTATGGTGTGCAATTATTTAAAAAAAAAGGATGTTAAAATCAGAATCCTAGTCAATGTCAATCCAAAAGTCCTTTCTCACTGTAATTATATTTGTCTTCCATTCCTGCAAAACCTTTAACTTCACTGGCATAGCATGATCCCAAATTCCACTTGGAGACTACATTTTAGTGGGGCACCATGTAGAAGGAAATGACTTGGCTGACATTCACAAAAAGGTGGAAGAAGAAAAGAATTTGATGCTCACCAGTAACAGGACACTCTGAATAAATGATTAGGCTAGTCTGATACCCTGTTATTAACACTAACAAGCAATACCTTTCTGATGGCACGACATTACAGAAGCCAGTAGCTGGCTACAGATGCCTTTCTTGTTACAACCCTACACCTCTCTGGGTCACAATAATTGTTGGTGTGATTCCTCTGACAGATAGAATGAATCTGGCACAAAAAAAGGCTTGCTCAATCCTATCAGTTTGGTATCTCCAGCTATTTCTCTCATCACTATGCTCACCTTGCAACGACGCAGTAGAGCTCTAGCTATGCACAGTAACTGTCTCTCTCCAACTGAAAAGTTTTCCCCATTTTCCATCACTTCTGAATCAAGTTTCATAGGCAGCTGGGCAACCTGTGTGGGAAAGAAGCAGCAAAAAAATCTTAGAGCATTCCACAGACTTTTTGTATCTCCATGGCATGAGACAAACAGTTGCTCCTCCTGCAAATCTGATTTTGCCCATGTTCCAAAGTATCTGTCACACTTTGCTGTCCATTTTTCGCTGTCTTCGTTGGGGAAATTAGTAACAAGCAACTAATGCTAGAACAGCGATACAACATCAGACCTGCTCAGTCCTGTTGAAATGCCTGTGACTCAGTGGTAGCTCCTGAGAATACCACTAGGACTAAGCTAGTAGTGTTCTATAGAGCTATATCATCTCAGTAGGCAACCTTGGAATGACTTAAGTACAAAGTATTTCATTTCTACAAAAAAAGCACGCCATGTACAAAGTCGTATCAACATGAATACAGACCTCTTGACAATCTTTCTCACCAAGAGAAAAGAGTGAACCTGGTCCCTGCATGAATTACTACCATAGCTGTACATGGCACTTGACTTACAAGAAAAGAAGAATTAGAAATGTCATGGCAGTGAGACTTGCTGCAGAGAGCCTCACAAAGGGTAGATTTTAAGTTCAGTATAAATGTGCATGTGTGACATTTATACTCACAAATGTAAATGCAGAATGCACCCCTAAGGCACAGACAGAAAAAAATACCACTTGAAATCTTGTAACACCTTGGGAGTCCATGTGATGAAGCAGCACTCTGCTATGCTACATACTAAAAAAGTACACAACAGAAATATGGCACATTCTCCAAAAAAATCAGTTTTATAAAATCGGGGGTGGGGAGAATCAGTCAAAGCATCAACAATGAGGGGAAAAAATTGCAAAGAAAAAGCTTTATCTAAAGGTCTCTGAAGTAGCTACTTACAGAACACGTTGGTTTGGAAGCCAAAACACAAGCATATATCTCACAGACACATAATACTTACACACTCCTTCATGTGAGTCCTTTCCAAAGCATCCCAGATTTGTTCCTCACTGTACTGATTGAAAGGATCCAAGTTTGATCTGGAGGGGGAAGCAGAAAACATAACCAGAATTTTTATTCAGCAATGAATGGCAAAACAGCAGTGTGCTAATTCATCCAGATGGATTATTCCCATCTAGGCTTCCACTGACAGAATTTTCTTGCCAAGGAAATCAGAAGTTCCCAACACGCTAGGGTTAGAGTAGCCAAAGAACAAAAGAGTAGAGATGGAAGACAAAGATATAAAAAACTGCAATCAAATCTAAAGGGAAAGCAAGACTTCCACAGAGGACGATCACATCCAATTCTGCACTGGGCCAGCTAAAATCATTTAGCTGTGATTTTTTTGTTCCAATAACAGAGAACAGGATGCTTGAGAACTAACATCTCACTAGGCACCCACTTGAGTTCAAGTATAAGCTGATAGCCCGCTTAGTCCTTCTTGCCTTCTTATGGTCTCACTAACCTCACAGTGCCACTGAATAGCACAGGTTCCTGAGGAATTATTGAGAGTTTGCTGCGAAGATCTGCCAAACCAATGTCATTTATTTTCACTCCATCAATTTTAATGCAGCCTCCAGACAGTTCAACGAGACGGAAGAGTGCCATTCCAAGGGAAGACTTCCCTAAAAATGAGACAGGAAAAACAATACTAGTGTTTCTACAGAGTTATAGCAGCATTGAGATGAGAAAGTATTTTAAAAGCTGTCCATGTGTAAGAAAACCATTTTAAAATACCATAAAGTCCTGGCAAACAATGTTGGTAAATGCTGGGGTCCAGCATTTAAACTTCTAAGTAATTGCAGGGGCAGCTCCTAATCTCTTCTCACAGATGCTACCCCTGCAGTGCCACCCCACACCAACTACGAAAACTTTACCGCATAAGCCCAATATAACAATATTAATTGCTTATTTAGAAACTACATTTTGGAGTTGATTTAAGTCATCTCACAAACAGGCGTTTTGATTCTTTACATTACAGGCTCCTGAGCCAAACCTGGCTGCAGCATCACTACAAAAAACTTTCAAAAGAGTCAAATAAGCTGTAATGAGTATGTTGTAGGTAGCATTCTGTGCTGCTAAGTGGCTTGGGATGTTAAACATTATGAGCATACTGGCTCAGGCATAGTAGGATATCCCTCTACTTTAAATGGAAACTTCTTTTCCTTATTGTTTACAAGGATGCTGCTTATGTATGCCCATGAACAGAATCCACCACTGACAGACTGCTGGACCACTCCTGTGCAATTAACAATTCACTCAAACACAGAAAAGACAGGAGAACCAATATGACTGCCCCACTCTATTCCATTGTCATTCTGTAAAAGTAATAATTTAACTCTGCTTAGTGTTTTTCCTTACCTGAGCCTGTCCTTCCCACAATGCCAATCTTTTCTTTCGGTTTGATGGTAAAGGACACTTTTTTAAGTACTAGAGGGAGGTTCTCTCGGTACCGCATCTCTGCATTTTCAAAAACAACTTCACCTTCCTGTGGCCAGTCCAGAGGAGGAGTTTTATTCTTAATTCGAGCAGGAGCTTCCAGAGAAAGTGTCTTTAAAAAAACCCAGAAGGTCAGTTTCCAGTAAACAAAACACCAGAAAGGAAAATTATCAGTTGCAGCTTTCAGCAGGAGTTCTTCCCAGGAGACTCAGCCCATATCAGTTTATGGCAGTTTTATGATGAGCTGTGTGGCTGGATGCGGGCCCAATGGTTCAGAAGTTTGCTGTGTTACATTGACCACACTGTTATTCCCCTCCTGTTGCCTCAATAATGACATTGGCCCTTCTACACAATGTTTTTCATCAATGGTATTCAAGAAGTATTTTAGGCCTATTCTTTATGAGCACAATCCTACTGAGTTTCATGGCACTCCAAAGACTGGATGGAATATCCGTTCTGTTTCTATGTCTCATTTGCTGTGCCATGCCAAGGTCACCTCTGTTGATTCTGACAGAAGAGAACGCCCACATGACACATTGTACAAATGCTACCCTCTTCCTTCTTTTCCTCATTCTCTTCTGTTCTATTAAATCACTGAGTCAGTCAGGCCCCTTCCAGCTTGCTCGCTTTTGCTATTTTACTCCGCCCCTTAATAGGTCCCTCATTAAGCAGTTCACAGATTAAACAAAAAGGCAGAACCTCTGAAAGCCAAACATGTGCCTTTATAGCATGTTTAGAATGAAGCCAAGGTCACTTTCCCATATTTGGCACAAACAGCCTCAAAGAATGGCAGAAATCCTGTTGTGGGATTCACCTCATGTAACTTTAAACCCATACAAAGGAAGAATCTCCAGCTGAACCAGGCCCCGTCAAGTCCTTTATAGTCACTGCAAAGAAGCTAGTATTTCTGGAGTGTGATTTTTCTCATTCTAATATAAACACATACAACAGGTAATAAATTGCCCTCTGGAGATAGCCATTTTCTACATTGACTATAGAGAGATCCCACAGGGACTATGTCAGCCGTGGACATCTGCAACATCTAGTTAGAGGCAGATTAATTGTACCCCAAGGGTTTGAGAAAAACAGTGATCTGCTACGATAGTACCCCAATTCTTTGAGCCTGGTGCTCATAACAGCAACCTCGAAGCCTGCACTGAAAGAAGCCAAGCCTGGGACTTGGTAAGATACAGAACCTGCATGGTGTTTCGCTGCTCACGCACTCTTTCTCTTTAGATTCAAACTACTTTTACAGTTTCATAATAAAATGGCTGTCTAGAGATCCAAATAAGAAAAATCACAGAAAGTGTTGCTTAGTAGCGATATAAAGTGACATACAGTAACTTAAAAAACAAAAAAAAACAAAAAAAACCCCACCACAACAGCCTACAACTATAGGTTTTGCCACTGAAAGCCTGACAGTGATAAACCCATCTCAGCCCAGTGAGAGATACCAGGCAGTATTTGGCAGACAGTTGTCAGCTTGCGCGGTCACCAAGTCTTCCATACACAGAAATTTTCTACTTAGATGCCACAAGAGGATTTATTTATTTAACTGACGGAGTGGGCAGCTTTAAATTTTTTTTCTCTTCAGTATTAAATCAACAGGCTAAAAGAAAAATTCTACAAATATCAACTACTACATAGCCCAGATTTACCAAAAAGATATATATCTTCCTCTGAAGTTCAGAGGAAATGTGTTTTATGTGTTAATTTAAAAAAAACCTTTCACCTCAAAGACCAGACCCAGTAGAAGGCTTTCTCCTAGCTACACTTTCCTCATTGACCTATGCCCAGTTCTGCATACACAAATCCTAGTTATGAAGAAAGGGTTACAGATAATCAGAGCAGCTTGCTAAGCATTTAGTTTGGGATATTTCTCATGTTTAGCCTAGTACATTTCCCATGTTTGCAATGAAAGCATTTGCTTAACTTTTTATGTATATATAAAAAATATATACACAATATATAACATATAGAAAAATGTTATATAACGAGAGCTGTGGAAGAAGTAGTACACTTATTAGGATGAAGCAGAGTTACATGTAGATAAAGTAACAGTTATCTATGTTTAAATGAAGGAGGTCCATTAGGTTTAGGATGAAGGATGCCAGGACACCATCCTTTTACTCTAAAATATTGTATTGAATTCCCAGTTATCCCTTTCACACACTCCACTCTTTACTGAGAGTGTTAGCAAACTTTCAATATCCCTATGTAACTTCATTGATGCCAGGCAAGTGATGCCTGTAAGCTTAGTTACCTACCAGCTCTTATGCTATTCATCTTGCCAATGCTTATATACATGCTTCATAAACCACTCGGCAGTATTACAGTACACGCACTAATGTGTTTACAAGATCAGAAACGTACATTCTGTACTAAGGAAGACTATGGCTGACTTTCTCTTCTCTTATGCCAGCAACATAACAAGCAACAAGAAATTTTATAACAGGCAGTTAAATGTATTATTGTCCTACCTTGATATAGTGATCAATCCTCTCCACTGAGGTGAAGCGAGCTTCTGTTTCTGAAGCAAGCCTTACTGTAAACTGGAATAACCCTGTTAACTGGAGCAATGGGAGAAAACAAAGACAAATTTAGAGAGCTGTGATTTGTTATTGAATTAAGAGACAAACCTAATGAAAATTTGATACAAGTATTCTTGCCATTGGGCATCATATAGCTAAGGTGCCCAAGGCAAGTTAATTTTAGTTTATAGTTAATTTTAAAATAACCATAATTTATTCATCAGTTGGAAAGCCAGCAGTTTAGAAAGGTTTCCCACAAGCAAGAGCTTTAAGTATCAGCTAGGTTTTGTAATTTCACCTTACTACCACCGGGAGGCAGAAAAGGACAACCAACAGCTCTAATAGTAAGCATTCTGAGCCCTGAAGTGTCTCTAACCTGCACAGCTGCAACACTGGATCCTGTTCACTCTGAAAATATACTGCGGGCAATACATTAAGACATCAGTTTGGCAGATGTCTGATGTATCATCAATCCAATTTCTGGAAATATCCAGGGAAACTGCAATATGCAGCATATGAAGAGCCTTAAATGGTTTCTACTTCATCATTTAAAAAGAGGCAGCTCCCCAAGACAATGGCCTTGAGCACCTAGCTCCTCATAATTCGTCATTTGACTGCTAGCAATAAGGTCCTCACTTTGAATTGCTTTCCGCTCCGTTACCAAAAGGGATAACAGTATCTTTTTCCATTCTAGCGAATTAAGGAAAGTTTTCAATGTTGTTACTTTTGCTTATTAGCAGTAACTACATTAAAGGAGAGATTAAATATTACAGTATGTCAACACACTCACCTGCACAGCATATGAGATAGCCAGCCCAGCATAGGCAGGAGGAATCTGGCCATGCATTAAGACAATCATAAGGCCAGTGGTTGTGATAAGAGCGATGCTGATAATGTCCAGCCGTACAGCTAGCCAGCGCATTGCACAGCTGAACAGGTAGAATGGTGCCTGATTGTCATCTAGGAGCTCCTGATACCTGAAACAAATCCACGAAAGGTTAGTAGACCTCACAGTCCTGGTGTTCTACAAATAGCACAGCTACTTAAACTCCTGTTCCAGTATCAGAATTCAGGGCAGGAAGACTAGTCCATCATTGACACAAACCCTGCTTTCATGGCCGAGTTTGAGACTTTACAAACTTTCCTGAATGTCAGATATCTACTTAGCTCAAACTCTCAGAAGTCAAACTACCAAGTTTCTGTGTACAACAATGAATTATACTGGGGGTGAATCAAAATTCAGGGACATTACACACACTTTCACCACAACTTCACCTATGCAAGACTTTCCAGAGGATGCTCGATGGCTACACATCACTCCAAGGGTTACAGCAGCAGCGCTTCAGAATATGTGTTATACACAAATGTAAAAAAAGGAAAGTTACTGTAAGTTGTGATAGGATTGGTGACACTAATTAAAACACATCAATAGCTATTTAATTTACAGTCCTGACCCTGCAGAGCTGAGAAAGTATATTTAAGGTGAGACACACGAGAGATTTTTCACAAAGCCAGTAACTAGGTTTTCTGAACGTGCAACTCAGTTTTACACCAATCACTGCTGCCCAGTGTGTGCAGTGCCTTAGTGCTCTAGCACCAACAATGCTAAGGGACTGCTATTTGCACCACTGGAACCTTTCATCTAAGCTAGTGTAGCACTATCTTTCCAGAGCTTCTGTGGCAATTTTCCCTCTGCTCCCACACTGATGGTCTTATGACCTTGCACCTGCAAAAGCCTGATATTGTTATGGCAGGTTCTCACGGGAAGCAACTACTGCTCACATGAGAAGTGTTCCACTTTCCCTCCCTAACATTTGTTTTGCAGATTTTAGTTTATACTAGAGAAAACCAAGCATAGTGTATAACAAGGTGGATAACAGTCACTTAAATACTTGATAAATGCTATCCAATTATACATGTGCACAGAGACTAACAGCTCATCAATATGCACACTGAGGTTTTGTCAGCATCCTCTAACCAATGCTAATACCATCATAAGGAGAAACAAACAATAGCAAGTATGAGAAGGACCTGATGAAAAGTATATACCACTAAGAAAAAAGTGTGGCCAAAAACTTGTCCTCACCATTATCATTGCCACCTCCTGCGCTGCAGAGAACCCCAGAGAAGGGCATTCACCTGGGACTCCATCACTATTCTTCCCAGTTGGCTAATGGGGAGTTTTCCCTTTCCCTTCTTCTTGTTCTCCCCCATTTTCTTCCCCCAAAAGTAACTTTCACTCTTAGAGCAAATGTATGCTACCAGCTACAAACCTCATTAATAAATCTTTCTGAATGTAAACATGTCACACCCTGCTTTGTGCTTCACCACTCTCAGATGGATATCTAGACTGACCTGTGCAGAAATTCCTGTCCTTTGTGGTAGGCATGGATTGTGGAGAGACCCTGTATGCTAGATGTAATGTGAGACAGGAATGGAGACTGTGTGATGTTGTCCAGACGCTTGAGCTCTCGAATAAAGACTCTGGAGGCAAAGAAACACTTTTAAGTGATATATACAGCCACCATATGCCAACCAGTACACTGATGCATATATACTTGAAGAAGCCTATGTCCTTAATAACAGGTCAAAGTATCTCTACTTTTAGTCAAAGAAGCTGATACACTTACCTAGAGACAACATGCAGAACTGTGAACAGGACAATGAGGGGCCCCACTGCCACCAGGAACCAGGGGAAAACCCCAGAAATCACCCCCACACAGAAGAACACAAGGATGACATTCTGGATGAACATTTCTGCTTGAAATGGCAAACGAACATCAACTGGAAAAAATGGAGGGAAAAGAGGAAGACCTTGAGTACAGAAAGGTAAAACAACCTATATAAAGCAATTCAGTCCAACTGTACATCACCATTGACAAGGACAGTGATTTCTCATGGCTTATTAAAAACGTACATTTTCATTAGGGGTGCTTTTATCTTCTGAGATGCTAGTAATCTTTCCAATTATTCCCATTTGCAGAAACAGCCCTGATGCAGCTCTGACCTAATTACCACCTTTGCTGCACATCAACTTTACCCTGAAACTCTAGGCTCCCCCTGCATTAACTGCTAAGAGTCTGCCAAGAGTCCATGTGCAGTCTGTAGGTACAAAAGCACATATTCTTCTTTATAAGTGAATAGACAGACTTGAGGTATCAGCTGCCTTCTAGAATCATAACCAGGTATGTCCCAATTCCTGCTTTGTCTATTACAAGTACACATTTGGCAATAGATATAGGCTATGATCACCCCAACAGCAAGAGACTGAAGAGTATTAAGGTAACCTGGAGGTCTGAATGTGGGATTTACAGCGCATACAGTGAGAGATACCTTCATCCATGTCTTTGGAAAACCTGTTGAGAATCCGCCCAGTGGGTGTAGTGTCAAAGAACTTCATGGGGCTACGCAGAATCCGTCGGAAGAGCTCATCATGGAGTCTTGAGGATGCTCTGAGAGTTCCCTGACAATGCAGAAAATGTTGCAGCATTATGAAAGGATGTTTGCCTTCCTGTCACTGCCCCTCCCCTGGGGATCAAAACATTCTGCTTATTTTCTCTCTCCAACCATAAGGTTTTTTTCTTGCATTCTGTGCTTCCAACCAGTGGAAAGAAGCTATTAATTTGTGCAGAAGTTTAACGGAAAGCATGGTGCAGCCCCAAGAGATGACTTACGGAAACCTCACAATCAGTGATCTGACTTCCTCTCATTCAAAATCTCTCTTGGGAGGCGACCAAAAGAACCACAGTGACAGCAATATGCAGAAGGGGTTGGGGGGAAGATAAGAAAAACAGCAGCATTAGCACATACCTTTACAAAGACGACGCCACGAACAGCTTTCAGAATCAACATAACTGCCATAGACAGTGCATAGATGCCAGCATAGTAATGCATGTGAGGGTTATCTTTCATACTGTTGCTTATGACAGTATCATTTCCCAAAGTCACAGTGGTGTTCTGCAGAAAATTCAAGGTTTCAATGAATAATTAGTTAAGACAAGGATTAATCATGTACACATTACACATGGTAGAATTTAACTGTCCTGTCCCCTCCCACCATATTTGATACTTCTTCTTTAAATGAAGTACTTCAATGATCTTGGAATACTTCAGGAAGTTCTCCCTAGCAGAGATACTTGACTTGCAGATTTGTAGCCCTTAGCGTTTTCCCTACAATACCTTTGAAAAATAATACCATAACACCTACTTCATTTGATTCTTAATCTCTCATTTCATGCTTATCGTTTCTTATGGTATTCTTAACACCACCAGATACTTGCATACCACCACTCCTATTACACAGCAATATTAATCTTGGATAGGTTGTACATCTTAACAAATATGGTTGTGATTTTCTGCCAGTATGCAATAAATTCTTTACTGTCACACTATCGTACATTCTCGTTCTTTTTTTTTAATCTTTAAGTATGTTTAAGGACCTCATTGCTTATTTTAATATTTTTGGCCATCTGCACTTCATTATTTCTTCTCTGAGGTTAGTAGTTTGCTTCCCCCACCCAAAGAAGAATCTTGCAGTTATATTTGAATCTTTAAACGCAGTAAGACTTGCAATCAAAGCCCCTAGAGCAGGAAAAGTCCCAAACCATCCTAGGTCAGCACAGTCTTCAAAGCAACTCCCAAAAGTGATTTGACTGAAAGCCATACACTTTAAGAAGATTATCCTGTCAGATATAAGGTCACGTTCAAACAAAAAACAGCACTAAAATTAGTAATTTCCCCCTGCAGCTTGTTGGCGCCTTTCACATTTTCACTTCCTTTTCTTAGTCTAACCAAGACAAGTAACAAGAGGGCAGTATAAAACCACATGAGCTGTTATATCTTTCCTATTAGTTGAGCTCTCATTCTTGGAGATGAACGCTCTCATGAAATCACCTCCTGGGAGCCTTACAACTTGCTTAAATTAAGAAGCACCATTTGGTCTCATAGGACTGCTTCAGATTAGTCTAGGAGAGCAATCCCCCTGCCTGTTAGACACAAGAGAGTAGAACAGCTATTTATCTTACTCCACTGCCTTGCTTGATCCAGAAACTCAGCCACCAGTTGCTAAAAGCTGTACTGCCCACATTCAGCACAAACAGTGCCATGATGACAAGGAATGCAAAGGGGCCTCCAGCTGCCTGAATGTAGATACCATAAACAGACCAGGGGACAGAGCCTTTGCCTTTCTCTTCCAACTGGACCAACTGACCTGTGAAACAAAAGAGAAGAGAATGAAGAAAAGAAAGCTGTTCCATGAAAATTTTTAAGTTTGTGAACATACACAAAGCTACAGTCATTGTCCAACTGTACAGAGTACTTTCAGAAACACAGACATTACTTAATACATAGAACTCAACAGTTCAAACAGTTTTTCAAAAAGTCACATTTCCTCTGTAGAATCATTCACATCATGGTATGTCTAAAAAAACGTAATCAGCACAGATTTAAATGCTAGGCTTGTATCAGCCTCACTATTGCTTTTTAAACGCTGCTGAAGTTCAAAGTTAACGTCAAACAGAGAACCACAAAACAGAGGTTAGATCTTCCAATTCTTCATACATAAATGCCATGTCCTGCCTAGGACTCTGTGAGTACCAAGCTATACACATTGCCATCTTAGGATAGGAGGGAGAAGTGGTGTGGGAGACAGGATACTACAAGTTCCTTTGTGCCAATAGCATGTGACCAGCAGCAGCCTGACTGAACTTAAAAACATTGTGCAGGCACCCATATTTAATGAATTAATTAATGTTCTTTGCCCACTGCCTGTGTCCTATCAACCATACTGAGTGACCAGGACTTGAGACAGCTTTTAAAACCTGAGAGGTACATTCATAATACACTTTGAAAGCAAATGTTTTGAGCTTATTGGTGTATAAAAATAATTACAGCCAGAAATCTGATTACATAGTTACCCTCTTCCTTCTTTACAACTTTCTCCTTCTTCACAGACCCTGCTTTGGTACTTTTATCCTGGGGTCTTTTCAGTGAACTGTTTGTATTCTTCTTTATATTAATCTGCAGGAAAACAATGACACTAAACATACCGGAGTAATTTGCTTTGACATTTTCATATCTGAACCCAAATTTTTTTATAAGCTGCATCCTAAGGACAAAGGCTTTCAAGAGCTTAGTATTCATATCACAGGGAATATTAACTTAACTGTTATTATGGATGACTGCCAACTCTAGTGGATTTAATTCTCCTCCTTTATTAATCTAAACTGCTACCGATCTGTACCGGTAGTGCGCAAGCTTAATTTCCAGGTTCAGTGACACTATGTGCGTACATGGTAGAGGAATGACACCCCTACTACTGAGAGAAAGATACAAACCCCCTGTCCCTTGTAAAAATAACTTACAATTTTATTAAGAGGCTTTTTTTTCCCCAAGCACCCTAGTACTTCGCTCAGGAAGGCTCTCATGAAATGCCTCTAAGGACAAAGTCAGGTTAAAACTTGGTCTTCCAGAAGTCAAATGTCCAAACACTAAACTGCACACACAATTACTGTTCTAAACCAGCCTTCTTCCCACAAATGGAAGTTACTACCTGTTCAGAGACAGCCTACATTAATTAAAATCCCCTACACAGCATCTTCAGGATCCTCTTGCCACACTTTATGTGAGAAGAGACCTCTCACACATATCAAACCACAGAGAATCTAACTTCACCATCCATTTCTTCTTATCCCATCGGGAATGCAAATTAATGCTCCTTCCATGAGCTAGTGTTTACAAAAAGACAGTGAAGGTCAGCCAACCACGCGGACTAGAGAATCTCATGTTAACTGTCATTACATTAATCTTAAAAATGGCAGAACTATAATCTTCATGCCTCAGAAAGGATATGCAGAGTAATGCATTTTATTCTTTTTCTTCTTTCACTGACATCTCCCAGGACAAAATTTCACCAAGCACCTTCTATATCTGTATATTTATCACAATGGTACCTTTTTGGGAACATTTTTTTTTTTTAAATGTCTGCAACTTGTGAATAAGGAGCCTCTCATCTCTTAAAAAATAAACTGCAGATGTGCTTTTTAATCTCTTCTTACTAAGAGAAAACGCACACAACACTTAGAGAAGTAAATCATCATCAAATAAAAAGCAGCAAAGGTGCTTACTCCAAAGAATAACTTCAGAAAACAATCAGGAGAAAGGTGGGAAAAATTAAATTGCTGAAAATTTAAATGCATGTGCTACTGAATGGTTCTTGTTATTTTCTAGATTTACATTTTTTCCACTGACTAAAATACTAGAGCACAAATCCAAGTTTGCATTTACAGCCATTGTTTCATAACAGAAGCAGTGTCAAGCAACAACTTTTTTCTCAAAAACCCCCAAAACAAAGCAATTACAGTTACACATCCAAAAACTGTCAAATCTAACTTTTGTCAAGTTGCATCATTTCTCCTGTGCCTCGGTCACACCCTATGTGAAAACGAAGTAACAAACCAGGAAGATTTTTTCAGAAAAAGGTCAGTCCAGGTCTGTGCTAATTTGGAGGTAAATTAAGAAATGAGGTGTACATGTAAAATAAAAGAGACAACAAGCTTCCTGCTCTGGGCGTCACCAGAGGAGATGATACATTACTTTCATGTTCAACTCATGAGCTCACTGGCAGAGTCCTCTCTAGTATGCATTCCCTAAATAGGAACTGTGACTGCAAATATGAAGTGCTAATGAAGCATAGATTATTCTACAGGAAGTCTATTGGTCAGATCAACACATGACCATGTGAAGCCATTATCCAGTCTTCCAATTAATGTCATTTGGTTCATCTCATCAGAAAAGTCATCATTCAGAGCACTTTAAAATAAACAAAACAAGTACCTCAATATGTGGTGTTTCTCCCAGCTGTAGGTTATTAAAAATAGTTGCATAGTCCCCATTTAAATTCATCAGTTCCTCATGACTTCCTCGCTCAGTAATGCAGCCTTCTTTCATGAAGATCACTTCATCACAGTCAACAAGATACTGGAGAAAATGGCAGTAAGAACAAGTCTTTATCGTTATGGCCAATAATCAGACACACTCCCACACAATCCTTTTCAGTACTTTATAGACATTTGCAGACAACACTCCTCTTCTGAGGTAAGATATCTGATTTTTAAAGGCCCTGCATTGACTACAGCACCATGATTACTTTCACTGTACACAAATAAAAAGTTTTTATGTTCTGTCAAAAACGATCTGTTATAGAAGACACAATTCATGATACTTAAACACTGCAAATACTGATATACTAAGTATTAATATTTCTATGCACAAAAGATAGCAAGAAAATCTCAGAATACATCCCTTCTGATTACTGACACCAAATCTAAGTTTTTCTGATGTGACGAACTAGCTTTATAGCAAGTTAACAAAAGTGTTTTTGAACAAGGTATTTATTTCTCTGGTAAATTTTCTTTAGCCAAGTGTTACCAGTCCAGATCAGACACCAAGCAGCACTGGTATCAAATAAAGAATTAGATTGTGCTGGGTGCATATTTGCAAACCTAGTCTGCAAACAGAAACCACGCATCCTATAAATGGACAGGGTTGTGCTGTTACAGGTCAGGGCATAGAAATTTCCAGTATGAAGGCAATTGACTAAACAGCATTTCAAGGAAGTCCAAGAAAGAAAGTATGAGAGATGTAGTACCTGAAGCTGATGAGTGATGAAAAGGACAGTCTTTGACTTCAGGTGCTTCCTTATTGCACTGTTAAAAATGTGATTTCCAACATGAGCATCTAAGGCACTAAGGGGATCATCAAGGATGTAAATGTTCCTGTCACTGTACAGGGCTCGAGCCAGACTGATTCTCTGACGCTGTCCTCCACTCAGGTTAGCCCCTCGTTCACCAATCTGCACAGACACACACCCATTATTTTATTTCTACAGCACCATGCAACACAGATATTCAGAGCTCAAGAGGTGGCTGGGATGAAGCAGACCATAATATTTTTTTTTTATGTATACACACACACACCTCCCATAATATTATATGTTGTTTTAATACATATATATATTCTAGTTTAGGTGTCCACTTCTTTGTGAAATGTGTTATACATTTAAACTCAAGGTTAACGTGCTGGAAATGTGGCAGTACTTTTTTGCTTATTTAACTTTTTTTGTATTAACTTAGCCATGCTTTTTTCTTAGCTATTTTAAATCAAGTTCGAATAGGTCCTGTTAAGGCAGCTAAATTTACAACACAATAAAAAACTCCCAAATTGTCAACATCTGAGTCAAAAACACAGCTCAACTCTCAATAGCCCAGGGCCTGCATTGATAAACTCAGCTCAAGAAGGTGCATTCAACAGCTTGGCTTATATGCATACCAGACTGATGTTCCACTCACCCCAGTCTAGTCTACCAAACCAAAACTCTACCTTTCTGCATCTACTGATTAGTTTACTATAAGCAAAATTTATACCTCTGTCAGGTCCCCATTTGGAAGGATGGCTAGGTCAGGCCTTAGACAGCAACCATTCAACACGGTATTGTATCTAAAGAACAGTTAGATACATAGTAAGAACACTGTTATTCCCCCACCCCAGGTATCTAACTAGTACAGTATTATCTCACTCTCTACACTAATAGCAGACATTCCAGCAGCATAAACCAAATTATCTGCCTTGAATTCCTAGGAAGAAACCGAGGATAATTAATCACCTACTTCTGAAGTACAGTGAAGGTAAGGAGGCAATTTCTTTCCAGGGACAGCTAGCACAGGCCACAGGGAAGACCCTCCACTGGGGGAGGGCAATGGAAGGTGCCCATACATGGCAAAAAGCAGTTGCTGCATTTAAAGAGGGCAAGGCCAAGACGGCAAGAGCAAATGCCACTTCAGTGCTGTTCCACAGCAGCTGCTAAAAACAGAGATCAGACAGTACTCCAGCATAAGGTACAGCCCTCACTGCAAATGAGCAATGACAGACGCACTGACAGACATCAGCCACAGTGACCAAGTGCAAGAGAGGCAGGCTCTTAAATGAGACTTAAAGGAGTCTTAAAGACAGACTCTAAAAGGATACGTAGGCTTTAACTACAGTGTACCCTGCATTAAATTTTCCCACGCTTGGGCCAAGAATTACTAAGCTTTCAAGAAAATCAGCAAACAGTTCTGACAAACCTTTCTTCATCATATTCCTTGCCAAAAAGAATGTTGTCCCGAAGTGTAGCATTGAGAATCCAGGCCTGCTGGGCCACATATGCAAATGTTCCACTTACTGCAATGCTACCCTCCAACAGGGTCATCTGAAATTAAAGATAAACTGAAATTATGCTATTCCATGTTTAGAATAGACTTACTTCTACAGAGTACAAATCAGTTAAATAGGAGATAGGAAAGAAGAGCAGAAGTAGTCAAAACATAATTTCTCACCTGTCCTAAAATTGCTGAGATAAGTGAAGTTTTTCCACTCCCCACACTGCCACAAATTCCAACAAGTTTTCCCTAGACAGAAAAAAAAATAAATTATGGTACTTATTTCTTACATTCTCCATCCCTTTCAGAATTGACTACCTTTAGTACCTCCAAAGGGACAGTTGGACATTAATGGTAGCTGAAAGGGGACAAAAAAAGCAAGACAGTCAGTATTAACTCTCAAATAATAAAGAGTGAATACTATCCCACAGTGGGCTAAAAGTGAATCAACTATACAGGTAAAAATGAATATATTTTAAGATCTGCTTCCCTTTGACTGGGCCTGATACAGGCCCAGAGAATGCTGCATTCAGCCAAAAGCACCAAGGCCTGCCTGAACAGAATACACCAAGATGCATTTGAGAGTGGAAGGAAAGATATAAAGAGGGAAAGACTGAAAGAAAAGTAGAATTTAGGATATATGGGTCCAGTAAAACTCTTTGCCTATGAGATACAGTTTGCAAAGGAACACGTACCAAGAAAAGGTGAGAATCCAGTCACTTTGAAGCATTTCTCTGCAGTAAAATGGGTGGGTTGATACCCACATTAAACAATGAATTCATCAAAACTACATTTGTTCCTTTTGTAAAAAAAGGTGAAGTGGACAAAAAGGGTATATAGCCATTTGTGGAATACATTGTTGGCCTCCTCTTGTTTACCAACTTCTGATAGAAAACTAGCCTTTACATTTTCAAGTAGCTGTGTACTCCTTTTTCAAGGCTGTTTTTTAAACTATATGAATCCTTCTCAGAAGTTTAAAATATAGGGGGTTTATAGTTTAAAATAGTTTAAACTATCCCTCTACTTATATGACTACAGGAGACAATTTAAGCATAAATATCTTGATAAACACAGGGATCCCGTTACTACAACATCCAACTGCCAGACTGCAAAACTTTTGTATTTGTGGAAGACATCATGTATTAAGTTCAATGCTTTTTCTTTGACAGTTTACATGTTTTTACCCATCTTGGAATGAGGACTCCAACTGCTTCTAAATTCTTGAAAAACCTCTGTGTCCTTCTACTGTACAAAAATTCTCAAGGAAGAAAATTGCACATTCTTCAACGAAAAGCACTGTTATGGCTCCATTACAACACCTAATCACCTAAAATGTTCACACAGAACATAGCTGAAACCCTGCAAAATTATCAAACGGCTGCAGGAATACACCATCCACCAATATCGCACTGATACCCTTGCTGCCCTGCTGATTCTTTAAGTTCATTGGCTCATATACTGTACTAAGAGCTACAAACAGCAAAGCCATCAGTTAGATGTGAAAGCTATACAACCTGCAGTTGTTTCACAGGCTGTTTGCAAAGATCTAGTTTGCTAAAATGGCACAGCTGTTTACATCAAGATCAGACACTGCATCCTGGATACTGCAGTTGCCATGGATATTACAGGAGTGCACAAAAGCAATATGCTCCATTTCATGCAAAAAACACACAGCTCTCTATCCCAAGGCACAGCTAAAAAATGAGGCCTTTTGAAAGCTCAGATATCCTCCTTTCTTCTCTTACCTTTTCTATCTCCAAGTCAATGTTGTAGAGAGTCCTCTGAAGCCGAAGATTAACCAGATGGATGATTTTGTTCTCCTCTTCAGGGCTAGGATGGTCATCATTGTCCACTAGAAGATGGCCCTTCTGCTCTGCCAGCACAGCTTGCTGTCCCTCATTCTGCAGCTTCATTTTCTCTTTCTTGCCCTTGGTGACTTTCTTGTCTTTTTTCACTTTGGGGGTCAACTTTGGTGAGCTCTGGACGCTGGCGTGGGAGAAGTCCCAAGCCAAGGTAGCATTTTTCACCTCTATCGCGGTGTGAGGATTGGCTGGTTTTTTCTTTATCATATGAACCTCTTCCATTAGAAATAAACTCTGATAGGAGTTGTGAGAGAGGTGTAAAGATGAGACACCTGATCAAGACTGGGAGACAAGCCTATGGCACACTCACGCAGCAAAACACATCAGGCTATACAGTAGGAGGAAGCTGAAGAGCAAAAGGTAGCTCATTAGTGTAAACTAACTCCAGGCCTGCTAAGTGGCCGGGGCATTCCTGGATGTGGTGGAAGCACTTAGATACACTAAGACTTTTATAGAACTGGAATACTCTGCATGCAATATGAGAGGGGCTTATTCTTTTAACACTGTTTGCAACTGCAGCTCTGTAACTTCCAGATTAAACACATATGAGCAGAATACATGGGTTGGAGAGAAGAGGTCACTTTGAGGGAAAGTGACTGACTTGTCCTACACACCAACTCATTATGGAAGGAGATGGAATGACTTTTAACTTCAGCCTTTACCCTTCAACTTTTTCTGCTGGGAAAAAGTCATTCCACACAAATTTAGCTGACCTATCTTGGGCTGCTTGACAATAAGAAGTAAGCCATTAAGTCCATTGTATCATGTTTTCCACCACATCCATCAGTATTTACAATCAACACAGATGAGGAAGAGATTTTTCACACAGTTTAATTACAAGATAAAATGTTTTCCATTTACATAATTCATGTTTTGAACTAAGGAGCCATTTGCAATTAAAGACTTCCCAATTCTCAATCTTATTTACTCTTGCAATTGCTATACCTGAATCATACATTCATAAGAAAGCTCATACTCATTTACAAAGCCAAAAAGTCAGTTACATTCTTACTGTGATGTTAGAGTAACCCCACCTTGTGTTACACTCCTTACACAGACTATACTGTTTACAGTCAAACTGGGAGATATTACAATTTACCCTCTCCTTCTCTCCCCCCGCCAAAACTCCCCTCAGTGCATTCGAATTTAAGAAAGCCTAATTTAAGGTGACTCAGAAGATGAAACAAAAATGCTCAAAAGCAATGAGATCTCAAAACCATTCTGCAGATCCCATTCTTCTCACACCCAGGTTTGTCTCATGAATGCATTACACAGAATCCATGTATCTGTCAATGCTTGTGGAATCCTATTGGGAAATTTCTGCAATGTGCAATGCACTATTGTCTTCAAGAGAGAAGACAAAATAAAGGCCTATCCTCTGAGTTCATACTAAAGTACATACAGTGTGTTCACAGGGATTGAAGGATGAGATAAGGATTGTTTGTTATAAGGGTTTCACTTTTCTGCCATAGATTCTGTTTTGTCAGATCACAACTGCATTTTATTCATATGGTGGTGTTTCAGTCACTTAATCTGGTCTGGAAACACAAAACCTCAGTTTTGCATGACTACAAATAAAACTCTGGTTTGTGCAAAGCTGTCTATACGATACATGACATTTCCAAAGTTTCATTAGCAAAACATGAAATTTCATTGCAGATGTTGCACTGTCTTCTCATTCAGATGGTCTTAAAAGGGAGTTTAAGAATTATTATACTGTGAGCCATCTAGTCCTGTATTCTATCTCTTACAGTGGCCAACATCAAAATCCTAAAATCATTAAATAAGAATATTTTGCTTCCCACACTGGTTATTATCTTAAACTTCTAATATTCCTTCACTACATTTGTATCACTTTTGCAGAATCCAATAATCAGGACTGCTAAGTGTAAAGAAAAAGAACTCCTCAGTTGTTAAAACAACCTTACCTTCTAAGTGTTCCCTTAGCATCTATTATACACATACAACACTACACTTACAGTTAAAACTGCAAGGCCAAATGACTGCTTACCTTAAATCTGTCAACAGAAACAGATGCCTCAGATAGAGACTTCACTGAGAAAGGCGTGACTTTTAGAGCAAAAGTCATTGAATTAAAGACAGTGACCACTGTGAATGCCTAAAAATGAGACAAAAAAAGAGAATCACATTTGGATGCAATATACTAACAACTCCAACCTTCTGAAAGCTGAAATGTCACAGCAACAATTCAAAGCCATAGAAAAGGCTGACAGTCCAAGAATAACCATTTAAATATTCAACATATTCACAAACAGCAGAAAACAGCAAATCTACCCAACTCCTTCTGTAGGGCTTTTTAACAGACCAAGACAGACATCTTCAGTGTTTGTAGGTCTACCAAAAGCAGCAGCTAGCAAATTCTGCATCAGCCTATTACTGTGAAGACCCCAGTTTAAATCCTGTTCTAAGACATTTGTGCTGTTTGCATCCAAGCACACTGTAAAACAAAAACATGCAGTAATCCCAATGCCCTATCGGAATAGCAAACAGAAGTGCTCATTTACATTCAGCTCAAAACCTGTTCTGGGGAAGGTTAGAACTGAAAACAGCACTGAGAGCTTTTTGGGCAAAATAGAAGACTACATCTGCTGCTGTCACACCCATCAGATGTTCACTTCTGTGAGCAAGGCTACAGCCTGGCCACAGAGGCACAGCCACAAAGCAAAGAATATGATGAAGAGAAACAGCTGAGCAGAAAAGCTACTGTAGCAATATTGTACAGAATATTTTCAACACTGCAGTAAGTTACCTGAGCTGCTGTAAGATCGTAGCCAAGTATCATATGGACAGAAAAGGTCACCACGCTGGCAATGACTACAACTATGGGAGCCACACCCACAGTGATGCTCTGGAAGTAGCCCGCACGCTCTAAGATTTTACGTTCTTCCTCACGAATTTCTAGAAATATAAATAGGGGCACCACATTTGAAGTATGATTGGGGGAGTACATACACAACAGACACTACCATAGCACTATAAACACTGAGTAAGAGAAGCCTAACTACGCTTTAGCGTTTATCACATTATGTACTTTCTCATAAAGACCGCAGTTACAGTGAAGCAAACTATAATTATCTGTAAATCTCCATAGAAATAGAGGTCTTTTTGCTTTATTTAAAAATGGAGCAGCCAGCACATTTAGTAAATGATAAAAAATGGAACAAAATTTAAAAATGTAAGATTAATGCCAAGCCACAAACATCATTATGCTAGAAGGTGAAACTTTAGAAGCACGTCTGTTTGTCCAACCCATCATGCATAACAAATAGGAAGCCTGGAGGATGAAAAGTGTTATTACACTGCACGTACATCGACATCTACGGTACTAAGCTAGGAGGAAGCACCAGGCTACTAAGCAATGGGGCATCTGCACAAAAGCAAACATTTACAGACTGTGTGAACTCACTTTGAACATTCTGAGAAAATGGTTTGACCCAGGCATACATTTTAATGAACTTAATGTAATTAAGAACTTCATTCATCTTTTGCACACGCTCATCTGTTGTTGATACACATTTTCTTCTGAAATAAGCTGTGAGACGCGATACAAACATCTGAAACAAAAGGCAACACCATGCAACGTTAATGGCAACTCAGAAAGAGCAAGTACATTCAACTCTTAATTACCAGAGAAAGCCAATTTTGAATCTGAAAAAGGGATTCAGGGATGGGGCAAGGCAACTATTGTTCTAACATAAAAGTCTAGCTGGCTGCAAACACTATTCATATCCTCCCACCCCATCTGCACTGAGCAATAGACTCATGATAGCAAGTTTTAACACAAATAAAATTTGTGAAAACAAAGGTGTGCGCTTTTTACCTACATTGAATAGTACCAGATTTGTTAAAGTTTCTGAAGCAGAAAGACTAGAAACGCATTAACCTAAAGACACACCCAGCTGACCCTCATGGCAAATAAACAGTAGAACCCATTTAGGCCAACTTTTTAACCTGGTCCCATAAAGCAAAAGAGCAAGCTGAACTTTGCTCAGCCAAATCAATTTCTGCCATATGCCAGTGCTATGAAGGTGGTAAAACAGTTTTAACATTTTTACTAAACCAATCTAGAAATAAATAGCTGTTCACGTGTTTCTAAGTATCTGCTACCCTTACATTCATCCCATTCCTGGTCTGAAATTCAAAACCAACACACTACTTCAGGAAGTTTTCAGCTCTTTGCCCTTCTTCGTACTCCTGCAATCTCTTTTGGAGTCCCCATCAATAGAGAAGGACTGCTGAAAAGAACTGGAAAAGATGATCAAACTCCATTTCTTATTCCCCTCTTTAAAATATAATTCCCATTATTTTAATCCTCACTGTTGGCCAGACAAATTGGACCAAAGTGGACCTCACAGTATTCAGCCTCCATGCTTTTTAAAATTTGTATTATGAATATAGTGACAAATCTTAGCAGCCTTACAGGGCATTTTAGAGGCAAGAAGACTTTGGCTTGAACTAGCCTATTTCACAGCTCAGCAGAAGTAGAGGCAGGAGTAACCAATCAAGAACACCCTCTCCCACATTCGGTGCTTTTCAATATCTTTTGTTGAAATCAAGAGCGATGTGCTCATGCAACACTGAGCTCCTGTACACAGGCTGGAGACCTTGTATCTTTCCAACCTCAACTAAAACCACCTAAGTATTCTGTAGTTTAATTTAGCTATGCACATTTATCTCAGTCAAATCTATCAGCTTTCCTATTTCCATTTTCTAATTTTCTTTACCATTTTGAGCTTCCTGTTTCCAAATTTCTGCTTCATGCACTATCTTTAGAAACACCACCAATAACATGCAGCACCATAAACGAGCTAAATCTAGCACATTTCAACACCTTCTATTCAGAACTACACGTATGTCTGACATAATAAAAATGGGAAGTAAGACTTAACTCTTTCCCACTCACCATTGCTGGGTAGAAAAGGATGAAGACAGCAGAGCCCAAGAAGCCTGTTGGACCCAGTATAATCACATTATAAACCATTCCTAAGATGGCCACAATAGGCCCCCCAGCCAACAAACTCCCAACTGCTGCAGCTTCAAACATCCTTTGACCATCATTGGAACATACATTTATGAGCTGAAAAACACACATAACAGATTATTTAGATTTAAGGCACAGCTCATTCTCAAAGGAATATATTGCATATCCATTTTCACGCTGCAATTTCCAAAATTATGCAGCAGTTTACCTCTCCAAGAGACTTCTCCTTGATGTTCTTCAGCTTAAGAATTTTCTTAAACGCCATTGTCAAGATAGCTCCACGCAGTCTAACCCCCGTGCGGTAATTCAAAGCCCAGGTTAGTGCAAGGGACCAAGATCGCACTATTTCCGTCATAAAGATGCCAAAAACTAAAAACAAGCTGTACTGCAGGTTGGACTCACTCTGTTGGGTATACTCCAAAAGATGTTTCACAACGAACGCCTACAGGAAGAAATGCAAGTTTGCATGAACACCCCATCATCCCAGAAGACCATGCAACAACTTTATGTTAAGTTAGAAATAAGTAGGCTACTTTGCTTTTAAAAGAGCCGTTTGAAATAGAAAGCATCTTCTTTCTAGAAGTAAAAGGTGTCAATACAAGAAGTACTGTAACACAAAGCCCTGCTGAGAGCCAAGCACTGAGTCAAATTTAGTAAGTAAAGAGAGTTTAATTTGGAACCATATTCCTCGCAGCACGCTTCTAATCCTCCGTGTCTTCTAACTTAACATAAATCTGTCAGTTAGCTGAAAGCAATGCATTATCATATAGAAGAGTTTTAAAATATAGTCACTACTTATACATCTGCGCACATTAAGAAACATTCCTTTACGTGACATTAAGACCTTTTTTATTTTATCTTTGGTTTGCTTCAAACGTGCTTATTTGATAAAAAGGAACAATGTACCTACAGTTGTAGAGGGGAAGAGTGAGAAGGACATTTGCAAAACATTCCTGGAAATAAACATCAGCAGTTTAATAGTAAAGAAAAAAACAAGCAGAAAGCACAAGGTACGCAATACCACAAATCATTGGGGACAGGGGAGAAAAAAAAAGACAAAAAACTAACCATTCAATCCCTCCCCATACCCTCGCCCCCCAAAAACATAAACATTTTACCTCAGGAATCACATTTCAAACATCACCTGCAGAAAGAGGACAGCCCCCAGAACCACCGATTCCCACCTCCAGCTCTTTGTGGTCCAACGGCACAATATAACATCATACAACTCACAATCACCAGTGATATTAAATACTATTGACTGCGAAACAATAGGCTTTTATTTGAAATGAAGTGCCATCTTAAATGGTAACATCTCAAAAACACTGTACAACAGGTAGAGCATTGTATAAACATACAATCTGCACATACAGGATAATAATAAAGGGCTAATATCTAACAGTCAGTCTTAGCCTCTAACATAAACTAGATTTGAAACTACACACAAAATTGTAAAGATACAAAAACAGAACAGTATTTGTTCATGAAGTCCAAAAGAAGTCAAACTTGCAGGTGCCAATAGAGGAGGCTTCTGAGGCTGCACAAATTCTGAAATCTGGTTTAAAAAGTATCCTACAGTAAGGCTTCACAGACAGCAAAAGATTTCCTAGAGAGCTTTTAAACAAATGATGCTTTAAGATACTGGTGCTTTTGATATGCTAGTACAGAGCAGAGAATTACCTTTGCCCACAATAAAAAGCAACAAAAAAAAAATCTGAGACCAAAGAAAATATTTGAGAAGCCTTCCACATCATAGTCCATTGAAGTCCTCTTGGCTACACCAGGTTTTGCAAATAAGAGTTCTGTATAGTTTGAAGAGAGAGGAAAAAAACAAAACCCCACTACTTCAGCAAAGGTATTGATAGCTATAGCCCAGCACCAAATAACAGAAAAAATGGAGATCAAATTCATCTGTTCTGAGGAAAGTAATTCTGCACATCAGAACCAAGGAAACATGCTGTAAATAATTTGCTCTTTCTTTTTCACAGGTGTGAATTAAAGCCAGATGTCCATCAGGTTCTAGAATGGCCACTGAGAAAATTTACATACCAATCCCTGAACAAATGTGAGGGGCTCACATTCACAGATCTATTGCATTCCAACTTTCTCCTTACTTGGATTTAGTTTTACATCGACTGTTTGGACCACAACTGCATACAGTTGGTTTGCAGTTACTAAGGAGATTACTGACTTCTTTTTCCAGTATTCAATCCAACATATGCAACTGAGTCACTGAGCAATTGGGGTGAAAATCCCCCTTTTTCCTCACGAGCTGTAACTCAGCATGGTCGCAGACTGCAAGCATTTTCTCGCACACCACAGCATTGCTGAAAGTCTCCAAGAGAGGATGTATAAAGATAGCAGATGTTTCCTGGGGTCTCATTCCTCCCAAAACTTTTTAGTGCAATTTTTCAGCACTATTTTATAGATTCAGCATCTCCCGTGATGAAATAGAGAGCAGCTTACATTATACCCCCATTTTTTTTTTTTCCGGAAGAAAGAAAAGAGGAAACAGCAGATTAAAGAATTTTGAAAAGGGAGGGGAAAAAAAGTCACACAGAATTAACAGTTACATCTGAACACATATTATTTGAATTCAAACTAGTTTAATGACAAGAATCCAGCATAAAATTATTTACAAAACAAGAAAGTTACAGCACAAAAACTAAAACTCAAGCTATCAGGGAAAAAGGAACTCCTGTGACTATTACCGTAGTAGTTGGTACTAGCTGCTCGGCTGTCTTAAGCATTCCCATTGAATAAACATTACCTTACCTTTGCTCTTGGCGTTGGCTCTGCCCAGCAGGACTGTCTCATTCTGACGCAGAAAACAGCCATCCTGAAAATTCTAAAGAACAGCTTCTGTCACTGGTCCCACTGCAGTGCCGGCGTCCCTGCTGCAGCCAGCGTGGGGCAGGCTGCAACTGGAGCCAACTGGGAAATCGGGAAACTTACCTCCAATAGCTTACCACTCCCCCCTCCAATAACTGACCAAACTGTCAAGCTGTACTCCACTAAGATAGCAAGTTTCCCCATCTCCCAAACAGGAAGAATAGCTCTGAACAGTTACAAGCAGGTACATTGTTCAGACCTGGAGTTAAACTGATTATGTTTAGTAATCAAAAAACTTCTTTGCTCCTCAACCCAAACTTGTAAGTTTTGGTAGCTGATCAAATAGCAGCAAATATTCACTGAAGATAAATAGTATCTCACCTATACTAGTACATTCTGATGGTTATTACAAGGCAGTCTGACACACGCAGCTGTCTCACCAGGTTATGGGTTTGGATACTGTGCCAGACGCAGAATTTATCAAAATAAAAAAAATAATAAAAAAAAAGGAAGACCCTTGAAGGATCTATTTGGTATTAAAAAAAAAAAACACACAAGAAGTCTGCAACAACTCCTTTCCAGTTATAAGCCACAGCTGTTGGCTGGCATTTCAAGGTCATAGACATTAAGTTTAATATAGTGTTTAACTCCATTTTTATAATTTTCACCAATACATGAGGTCAAGTCAAGTGCTTTTCCTGATCTCCCTTTTCACCTTCAGGTGACTGAAAGGGCGTAACAATACAAGAAAGCACTGGTACTTCTGAGGAGACAGCATAGGCATATCTATAAGGCATGCCATTTTTAAAAACAGGGAGGAGGGATGGTAAAGACTTATTTTTCATGCCAAATGGTGGAACCAAAAGGGAATTGCTCCTTATTCAGAGAAATGAATAAGGTTGCCTGTAAATGGGCAAATATCTATAGATAATTTTAAATAACCCAAATCGAGCATCAATTGCAGCGGTAGCCCCCAGCCTAGTCAAGTTGGTTTGTTTTTCTCCTTCCCCTCCCACTCTCTCTCATTCAGCAGTTTGGCTGAGACAAACTGAGAAAATTACACTACAGAAATTAGGGGCAACCCTCCTGCAAGTTCTTTGCTAAAAATAAAAGCATCTACTAAAGCCCTGTAGTGAAACAATGACAGAAGCTCTTCTTGGGGAAAGCTAGCGCTGTTAAAACCTTAATCGTGATTTATTGTTAATTACCAAAGTATGTTCATATATTTTATAATACAAGCTACTATAAATTATTACCAAGAAAACAATACCACAAATATTTATTGTTATTCATATTACAAGTAACAAGGCAAATTTAAAAAGGCTTAAAAAGCAGAACATCATTTTGATAAGACATTTAAAAGCAGGAAAACATTTTAAAAAGACATTTCACCTAACAGTGCACCCAAGTGTACTTACCCAAGAAATGAAACTTCAGCTTACCAGCACACTGAAACGTGTACTACTAGCAGTAATACTGCTCCTACTCCTCAAGGGAAATGTGTAGAGAATAAATTTAGTCAAAATTTCAACTGTAAATCTGCACAGCACGTGCAACAAACAGGTGACAAAAAATGGTGTGAATGTCAAGTCCCATATGTTGTTATCTTCATTACGACCCATAGCAACAAACAGCAGCAGCTCCTAGAGGCAATAACGTACTCTAACACTTCTACATGAAACCTGTCTGACCGTTCTCTGTAGGATCTATACCCACAGACTTCTTGAGACCTGCTCACATTAGTTTTTTAGTGCTCTAATAAAATTGTTTCATTCCACTTCTTGAAGACTGTGCTATTAATGCCAATAATCTAAGATTAGTGTTTTATCAGATTGAATTTTATTCCAAGATAAATTTACAGAATTGCAAAAAGAAAAGGAAAACAATTAAAAGACCTGCACATAAGAATTTTATGCAAAGAGACCACATACCAGTTAAGGAAGAACTTTAAACTATACTCAAAACCAAAGAGAAAAACCAAGTGTGCATTTCCTCCAGGATACCTAAACTCCCCCTCCCTTCTGCAAGAACTTGCCTCGGTATTCAGCAACTGATCCATCAGCTGTAGGAAACCTATCTTGGATTATTGAATCACTCTGGAATTTTGCCCCAAAATTTCTAGCTAGTCAAAACATTTAAGTGATTCTGCAATGAAACCTTAAGACTTTACAGTTGGCCATGAGATGGAGCCCTCTGGGGTTGTTAAAAAAAGGATGGATATTACTTACTGGTCCACTAAAACCAGCGAGCTGCGTGATCATCAGACACACTATGGAAATGATGAGCCTCGTGCGGCAGAAAATCCACACAACCCTCCGGAGAGAAGCATCATCGGGCCCACTTTCTTTCAGTTCTTCGTGCCACAATCTCTCCAGCCTAATAAAAACAGAAGCCTCATGCTATAAATTTTTCACCATGAGAGAAGGTACAATCTCATAGGTATTTCTTTGTGAAAATTCCAAGCACTTCCTAGCTTAAAGCAACAAAAATTACTAGATATCAAGAGAAATAAATACATGGTGAGGTACAGAGAAATAAATCAAGACAAATATCTGCATCCTGAAATATCTGTGTTGCATTACTTCTACAGATGAGAGGGATGAAAAGCACAATGCCTTTTGCTTTGCCTGGAGTCTTTTTGGCAATCTTAATATACTGACTTCTCACAGTCTTTCCTTGCTGATCTGACAGAAGAGTTGAGAATTTTTCTCAGGTTTTGACTCCACATTAGCTATAAAAGGTTAGCCTGATCACAAGATCTAACCCATATTCAAATCACCTTGCTACTGTCAGTATTACTTTTCATTATTTTAGCACAAGATTTTTTTCAATGTAGCCTTGAGAAAGAACTTTGTTTTAATAAAAAATAGTTTAAAGACGTGCAAAATCAGAAAAATAATTGCAAAACATTCTGGGAGACAGAATCCTCTAAATTCACTGAAATTGGCAAGAGTACAGAAGCAGTGCAGAGAGAGGAAGTGGTCTATGAAGGATAAAACTACATTCCACTATTCTGAGAAAGCCTTTAGAACACAATATCAGTGCTGCTTTTCTAGGGCAATACTATATCATTGCCCATGAACTAACGTATAAAAAAAAACAAAAACAAAACAAGAAAATAACTGAGATATCTCTACCTTCTACAATTGACATCTGAAGACTCATGCCTTGATAAAGACCATACATCATCCATAAACAATTCCCCTTTCTTGTACGCTCTGTGGGCCAAAGGAGTGAGCCAGGAGAAGGTCATGCAGGAGAAAAGCCCAGCATTATCAACAGGGTGCTGGTGTCTAAAAGGAAAAAAAAAACATGAACAAATGAAAAAGGAAACAGAATTGTAAATCCCTGAGAAAAACAAAGCCTCCTCTCATTGAAATTGGCCCATGCTAGTCATACTTGCTAAACAAATTCTGTTTTCACTATCAGTCAGCAGACCTACAGCTGCAGTCCTGCTTTGTGACTGGTTTGAAAAGCAAATGCTGTATCAGTTCTTTTGCTGCCTAAAGACTTACTTGGAAGTAGTCCGTATGGGTTTCAGCACGTTCAGGCCATGGTGGTATTTGCCCTTGTGATGCTCTTCGTCCAGCATTCTCAGCTGGGAATGCACAGAGGTGTCCAGTGGCAGGCCCTCTGCCCGAGCAGCTGCTTCCAAGGCATCCTGGCATTCAATCTGCTTTTACAAGAAAGACAGCAGAGTCAGAGGTCAAAACTATGTTTAAAGTCCATGACTTCTGACTCCAGCAACTTTGCACCTCTTTCTTCTGTAAATTACTGCGCAACAGTAATTACTATCATTTAAATGTCTTAGAGGACAGGCTTCAGCCTGGCAGCAAAGACACTGAAGGGTCACATTCTAGATCTCATTAGATTGCTGCATTTCCAAAACATAAATTAACACCAGTATTGTGACTCTGCATTCAAAGGATAAATGGATAGACCAGACTAATCCTGCATCCTGCCACAGGAAATACAATAGAGAAAAATTACAAAATCAAGTACCTATGACATCAGTTCAGGAAATCAGTGACTGGCTAATACAATGAAATTGACATACTTTCTTGATGAATTTACACCCTCTTCGTGTAATTTAGATACTTATCCACAGAAAATTCCAATTATTTTCAGAATACTACTAAAGTCCCTTCTTCAAAAGTAACTTGGATTAGATCAAAAAACAAATATGCATTAAGGAGAATTGTACTTTCTTTTATCATGCTTCCTGCTTTTTCTCTTTTTCCATAAAGGGAACAAAGATAATTTTCTCTGCTCCCAGACACACTTCTCAATGGCTCAGCAACTTTATTAACAACCACTTAAAAGGCAAGCCTTATCTCAGAGGAGTTTTTCCACAGCTCTAGTGAAAGGCAGACCTAAACACTAATCTAAGAGGAGAAAGGAACAGCAGTGATATGGAGTAGTCAAAACATTGCAGAGTTCAAACAAACCTTTTGATCAGAAGCTAGATGTGGCAAAACTATCTGAGGAGATTAGCTTGCTATCTATACTCACAGAGGGCTCACTACTGGTTCTGCTAACTTAATGGACCATTTATTGCAATGTCACGTTACCTGTTTGTATCCTAGTTTTTTGACATGGAGTTACTTTGTGGAAAAAAACCAAAACAGTTCTGAGGTAAAAATCTTCCTGGCTGTCTCACAAACAGAGATACTATGTTTACCCTTATTAGTTGCCTTACCAGAGCAAAGTTACTTTATGTCTTTGAAAACAGCAACTGTAAGGCCTTGTAGCCTCCCAAAAACACAGTACCTGCAAAGCACTAAATGCATATCAATAGCAAGCACTTGGTTCCTAACTTCTCATTATGTAATTTTTGTCTGAAATGCCAGCATTTATTGGAGACTTAGTCTGTACTACATTAACATGTAAGCATGTAGCATTAAGACACCTAGCTTCCACTTATGTGAAGGACAAGAACAGGTAATTGATAATAGCATAAATCTGTCCTTTATTTAACCAAAGCACTTAAATAGTGCCTAAGGGTGTTGTCAACAATCCACGGTCCTGATCTGAAAAAAACTTATTCACTAAGCCTAAAGCTATGATTACAAAAGATAGCTAAGTAATAAGAAAACAAAAGAACATTACAACATCATGATACATGGAGTGACTCAAAAATATGCAATGCTTGAAATCTGAATTAAAAGACTTTTCATTCAATTTTGTATCAAATTACTAAGGGCAATAACACCTTACTAAATCTACCCAAATCAGCATTAATAAGGGACCTGCCAAAGATGTTTCAAAGGACTCAGTAGTAGGGAAAAGTTCTGCACCACTGCTTTTATGGTTACAGCCAACAAATTTATAGCTAGTTTGCTGTTACCCTTTGCAAGAGCCCCAGGCAGATTTGCCCAAACACCCTATTGCTGATAACATGCTTGTAAGTGATGTCACAGGCTATTTGCAGAATCATTGTTTTTCAGAGCACACAAAAAGTGCCTGTAAGTTAAAAAAAGTCTTCCAAAACCACTGTATTTGTCAGCATAAAAGAAGTTTTTCACCACTTACAAACAAGAATAGCTTTTTAATAAGAAAGCACAACTGCAAGATACAGTATTTTTAGGCAGTCCAAAGATAATGTTTTTAAACACTCACTGTGAAAAATAATTAAACTCTCCAGAGCTGCTCAACAGAATTCTCTCAGCAAAGGTGGAAAAGATGCATTGATAAAAGACTAGGGCACTGCCTCTGAAAGGCCTTTATCATGTCTTGCCATAAAGGCAAGTATAAGCGCAAAACCCTAGTCAAGTGCATTGCTCATCTCCATCTTCGCAAGGTTGTCAAAATCCCACAGGCACAACTATCAAGAAACAAATGCATCACACTACTGCACAATTAAGATTCTAAGAAAGTCCATACAGTTCTGCGTCACATTAGAAAATCTTCAAAGCACAGAGTTTAATCAGGAAGAAATGAGACTCCTAAGCAGTTCTACAATGCATTTCTAGAGCAAAAGACTAAATTACAAAAACTAGCAACAACCCCAACACTGTTAATCTAGGTTTCTGAATCCCTATTATTTTTTCAGGTGTTCAACTGGCAACATCCTGATTGCCTGCATACATGTACAGTTTTCTTGGAAACTAAAACCTTGAAGAAGTCATTAGCAATGTGACATAACAGGCTCCAGCACTGCTCTTGAAATAAATGTCTAATAAATCATGGCTGCACTATCAAACAGAAATCAGACTGCACTTTTTCTAATTCAGCAACTTATTAATATACCAATACAAGCAATGAACCAGGTGATACAACACAGTGTTGATAACTCTAAAGAAATGCTCGCAGATATCAGATAAATCAGATATCACTAACTGGAGGGGTCGGGGGGAGATCATTCAGACATTTCTTGAAAAACGGCAGCTCACTACTCAGCATCATCAAAAAGGCCAAAAGACAATGAAGAATAGTTACAAAAGACACAAAGAATAAAGCAGGAAACATTGCCATACCACTTAAAAACCCTAGCATTTGCCTCCTTTTTGAACACCAGAGTCAGTCCCCTATCACTTCAGTTCAAAAAGGGTACTATACTTACAATTACTTTCTGCAAGCACGAGAACAGTTGGGATTAGAACAGCTTCTACACAAGCATAAATTTAACACTTTTCAGCTGGATAGAAGAGAGAAATAAAGATAAGGTACAGGTATTTGAGAGGTCCATAAAGTCATGAATGGCACGAAGAAGATAACCAGGGAATGATCACCAACTGTTCTTACAACAAAAGAAACAGGGACACTCAGTGAAATTAATGTTTTTCACTTAAATTTAGAATTTTCTGTCATAGGATGCTGTAAAGTTGAAATGCATAAATGGACTTAAAATGGGAGAATTAAACTCACATAGGATAAGCATATCATGGCTTATTAAATGCATGACAGAAGGTAACAGCAATCATTTACCCATCATCTTATTAATAGCTGGTAGATTCCAAAAAAAGTTTCTGAAGCCATGGGCAGCTCCTAATAGAGAGTAATGGTTCTGCACTCTACATTTCATGAAGCTATGGCACACCTGGGTGCAGGCTGATATGATTCAACAGATGACTGGGAAAATTAACAGATTAACAGTTAAACTTTTAATCCTGAGAGCAATCCCCAAGAGTACTGAGAGTACTAAGGAAGTATCACTACACACATGATCTTGCCATGTTCTTTTACCTCCACAGCTAGCTCACAGATAAGCAGAGAAAGAGAAACATGGCTGGTGCTGCTACCACAGAGCACACCTCCCCGCTCTGACTTTTTGCAACTTGAGAGCAATAAAACCCTAAAAGCACCTGTTATCATGATTTCCTTGTCCAACAAATTGGTCATAGCAATGGTAAACACATAAGGTAATGTGAGAGCCAGAAAGATGACATGGTTAGCTCAAGACATGTCATCACAAAAAGTTGGGGTGAGATGAAGAAAATAAGTTGTTAAGGACAAGGAAAAAGATCTGCTCATTAAATCAGAGACAGCAGTACCAAATTCACAATCCACATACCAAGGTCATGTGAGAAGGCCATGAAAACACAGAAGATTTAGGAGCCAAGCTACAAAGCTGTCAAATATACATGATGTCAGGGGTAAGACAGACAGAAGTTCTGTAGGAAGCAAGAGGGGCATCAGGAACATCACACAGAAAGGCAAGCAAACTCAAATATGTGAAATAGAAGGACACTTCTGAAAACCTGCTAAGCAGCCAACATGGGCATTTATCTCTGAGGATGGGGAGCAGGTGAAGAGAAAGGAGGCAGCTGTGTTGTATATGGGAAGGAAAAAAAAACCACCACAAAACAGTGAGATCCTACCCTTTCACACAGGCAATCTCACATTTAACAGAGAAGATAACAATTTATTGGTTTGACAACTGTAACGTCAGATGACAACAGCAAAACCAGACAAGCCTGGAGGTCAAGCAAAACAGATTTTTTCAATCCCTTACTCATCTTGCAGAGAAAGAATTTGATGCGTATGCAGTCAACATATGACACAAACCCCACCCACCAAACAACTGTTGTCTCCCCTTCCATAAGGCAGAACATCTTCCAGGGCTCAGATCACTGCAGGGAAGAAGCTGCATCTCTTCTGGTCCTACTTCTACCTGACAGGAAACTAGAGCAGACATATAAAGGCTTCTTTTATCAATCCTTGCAGCTGATACAGAATACAAAAGCTACTGTGGTTGATTTACTATTACATAAAGTTAAAATTGTTTTATTTAAGTAGTAAAGAACTCTGAGTTGGCAATGCTGCAGAACAGGAACTCCCACCTCTTCCATTTAGAAGGCAGAGTTCATCAGGCCTCCTCACTCCTTTGTTTAAGTTCCCAGTAAGGAGAGGCAAATGAGAAACTAACAGACCAGCACAATAGACCTCAGGACTAGGCAGGCATATGGGGAGAAGGGGAATTATACAATCACCAGTTCTGTTCAGTGCTTAAAGCATTCTCCATGTTACAACTCTGGGATGAACAGAAATTTTAGAATATTTAAGGGACTTCACTAAAAGACTGGTGTTTCAAAACAAAATTAGTTATTAGTTTGTTTGGGCTGATGAAGAATAGGACCAATTGTTCCAGTTAGCTTAAGGATAACTAAACCAAAATAAAACAAGAATCTAGGAAGAGATACTTTGCAGTTGTAATTACATCCTTCTTCCCAGAAA